GCTGTGAAGTGTGTAAACCTGGCGATTAACAGACCTGTACCCCTGGGGATAAAAAGATATTATATGTTTAAAAAAAATAAAATTAAAAAAAAAAAAAAAGAAATTAAAAATAGAGCTTCCCTATGACCCTGCAATTGCACTACATGGTATTTACCCCAGAGACACAGATGTAGTGAAAAGAAGGGCCATTTGCGGGGCTCCTGGGTGGCTTAATGGGTTAAAGCCTCTGCCTTCGGCTTGGGTCATGATCTCAGGGTCCTGGGATCGAGCCCCATATTGGACTCTCTGCTCAGCAGGGAGTCTGCTTCCTCCTCTCTCTCTCTCTCTCTGCCTGCCTCTCTGCCTATTTGTGATCTCTGTCTGTAAATAAATAATAAAATCTTTAAAAAAAAAAAAAGGGCCATTTGTACCCCAATGTTCAGAGCAGCAATGGCCACAATCGCCAAACTATAGAAGGAGCAAAGATGCCCTTAAACAGACGAGTGGATAAAGAAGATATAGTTCATATGTGCAATCGAATATTGTGCCTCCTTCAGGAAAGATGAATACCCAACTTCTGTATCAACATGGATGGGACTGGAGGAGATTATACTGAGTGAAATAAGTCAAGGAGAGAAAGTCAATTATCATATGGTTTCACTTACTTCAGGAGCATAAAGATTAACATGAAAGACATTAGGGGAAGGATAGGAAAAGTGAATTGGGGGAAATCAGAGGGGAGGCAAACCATAAGAGACTGTGGACTCTGAGAAATGACTGAGGGTTTTGGAGGAGAGGGGTGTGGGGGGATGGGTGAGCCTGGTGGTGGGTAATAAGCGGGGGCACATATTGCTTGGAGCACTGGATGTGGTGTATAAACAATGAATCGTGGAACACTGGAAAAATAAAATAAAAAAATAAACTATACTGAAAAAAAAAAAAAAAGAAATGCAACAGATTTCTATACATTGATTTTGTATCCTGTGACTTTACTGAATTCAGTTCTAGTATTTTTTTGGTGGATTCTTTAGGGTTTTTCCATGTATAATATCATGTCGCCTGCAAATAGTGAAAGTTTTATTTCTTCTTTATTGATTTAGATACATTTCATATCTTTTCATTGTCTTGTTGCTATGGCTAGAACTTTCAGTACTTTGTTGAATGAAAGTGATGGGAACGGACTTTCTTCTTTTGTTCCTGATCTTAGGGGGAAAGGTCTCAGTTTTTCTCCGTTGAGTGTGATGCTTGCTGTGGATTTTTTCTACATATAGCCTTTATTATGTTTAGGTATGTGCCCTCTAAATGTACTTTGTTGAGGGTTTTTATCATGAATGGATGTTGTACTTTGTCAAATGATTTTTCTGCATCTATTGAAATGGTCATTTTAAAAAAATCTTTTCTTTTATTGATGTGATGTATCATGTTGATTGTTTTGTGAATATTGAGCCACACTTGCAGTCCAGGAATAAATCCTACTTGACTGTGTTGAATGATTTTTAAAGAATGTATTATTGAAATTGGTTTATTAGTATTTTGTTGAGGATTTTTACATTTATGTTAATCAGAGACCTTGGCCTACAATTTTTTTTTTTTTGGAGTATTTTTTCTGGTTTTGGTGTCACACTGATACTGGTCTCATAGTATGAATTTGGAAGTTTTCCTTCTTTTCTTTTTAAATTTTTTTGGAATAGTTTGAAAGTACAGTTATTAACTCTTCTTTAAATGTTTGATAGAGTTTGCTTGTGAAGCTATCTCGTCCTGGACTTTTGCTTTTTGGGGTTTTTTTGATTACTGACTCAATTTCATTTCTGGTAATCAGTCTGTTTCAATTTTCTGTTTCTTCCTGTTCAGTTTTGGTAGTTTATATGTTTCTAGGAATTTATCCATTTCTTCTAGGTTGCCTAATTTGACAGCATGTAGTATTTCACAATGTTCTTTTACAAAGTTTGTGTTTCTGTGATGTTGATTGTTATTTATCTTTAATTTGTGGTTTTGTTTATTTGAATGCTCCCTTTCTCTCTCTTTTGATGAGTCTATCTAGAAATTTATCAATTTTATTGATTTTTTTCAAAGAACCAGATCTTGGTTTCATTGACGTTTTCTATAGTTTTTTGGGTTTCATTTTTGTTTTTGTTTTTATATCATTTATTTCTGCTGTAATTTTTCCAGTAACAAACTATAGAAATGATCCCTGAAAGTATAGTCTTTCTGCTGTAATTTTTATCATTTCCTTCCTTCTGCTGGTTTTGGGTTTTGCTTGTTGTTCTTTTTCTAGCTCATGTAGGTGTAAGATTAAGTTGTTTATTTGATATTTTTCTTGCTTCTTGAGATAGGCCTATATTGCTGTAAATTTCCCTCTTAGAACCACTTTTGCTGCATCCCAACTGTGTTCTCATTTTGTTTGTTTCCTGTACTTTCTGATTTCTTGGTTGACCCATTTATTGTTTAGTAACATGTTATTTAACCTCCATGTATTTGAATTTTTTCCAGATTTTTTTTCTTGTGGTTGATTTCTAGTTTCTTAGCTTTGTGGTCAGAAAAGATGCATGGTATGACTGAAATTTTTGAATTTGTTGAGGCTTGTTTTGTGGCCTGATATGCGATTTGTTCTGTAGAACATTCAATTTGCACATGAAAAGAATGTGTATTCTGCTATTTTAGGATGTTTTAGCTCTGAATATATCTGTTAAATCCTTCTCATCCACTGTTTCCTTGTTGTTTTCTGTTTGAATGATCTGTCCATCAACGTAAGTGGGGTGTTAAAGTTCCCTACTATTATTATTTTACAATTGATTATTTAGTTCCTTTATGTTTTTTATTACCTATTTTAGGTGTTTGGGTGCTCCCATGTTGGGTGCATAAATATTTACAATTGTTATATCTTCTTGTTGGATTGTGACCTTTATTATTATACAGTGTCTTTTAAAATTTCTTTTTACAGTCTTTGTTTTAAAGTTTATTTTGTCCAATATAAGTATTGCTGCTCTGGCTGTCTTTTGACATCATTTGCATGATAAATGTTTCTTCATCTCCTCACTTTCAATCTGAGTCTCTTGCAGGCTACATAGAGATGAGTCTTGGTTTTTTAGTCACCCTGTCATCCTATAATACTGAGGATTCTGTTTGCTTTGTTCTAGTTGTGTTTCTGGGCCTGTGCCTGACTCTCATAGTGGGAATGAAATGATAACCATAAGCTTGGTGGTGACAAGGCTGAAATTGCTAATTGAAGATTGGTATGAGGTCAGCAGAACTGAGCTAAACAGGCAAAAATCTTACCGGTGATTGTGTAAATAGCGGTGACAGCCAAGAGGATGAAGATCGCCAGGTAAAGGTCCAATCCCAAGGCCAGCTTGATGAATATGGCTCCGGAAAATATATCTGACTAAAAAGAGAACAGTCAGAATGGGAAAGAAACATGAACTGCATCACTTAGCTCTTCATTGATGGCTTCCCACTGGTATTTGCTGTACCTATACATGGCATCTCTGCAATTCAAATATGAACTCCTTGGAAGCCAGATCTCATCCTCAGAGGATTAGTTATTGGACAGGCCATAAGAAGGAACAATGAGTGAGTGAACAGAAAATAAGAAACATCTACACTATAGCTTGCATAGACTACTCTTTCATGATTGTCTGCAGAGAAACAATGATTAAAACTAGAATATTAGATATAAAAGACACAGTAAAGCAATGGTTTTTAAGGAGGAGGATACTTGAGCACATTTGAGGTAGTAGAAAATAAAAAGAAAACATGATAGAGGGGTAATTATGAAGCAAATTTCAGAAACCTTGAGAAGAAATGGGATGAAGAGTAGGCACAGGTTGAGGGGTTGGTCTTTGACAAAAAGAAGACTCTTTATCTTCAGACTGGTGGAAAGAATGAGGCAAATGTAGATTAAGTCGGGGAAGAGTGCTTTCTGCTTAAATTTTCTAGATAAAGTGTGAGATTAGGGTTTTAGATAAGAGGCAGAGGTCTAGTAGATAAAAAAATTGTGGATCATTTAGAATAGTTATTTAGAGGACCAGAGAAAAAAATAAACACAGATAGAAAGATTGTTGGTTGAGGCTTAGAGGACAGCAGAGTCTCCTGAAGAGATCATGTCCACCCTGAACTACCTGGATGCTTGTGCCTGTAAAGTGTGCTTACCAGCTTCTTGGATCTTTCTTCAACACAAACTTGGGCTGGCCCCACTTGGATCCACCCCATCAATGCTTGTTGGGCTGGCAGAAAGAAAGGGCTACTTAAGATGGCAAAAGTTCCCGCCACAAAACCTGAGCTCGGACAGGAGAACAAAGACCCAAGCAGGAATCTGAAACCACCCCCCCCCCCGCCCCCGCTCCGGGCTCCAGTGGACCAATGGGACCCTGACGAGCAGGCGAAATATCCAAATAAGGGAAACTTGCTAAAAGACCCCTGAACTCCCCTCGAGAGCCCTTAAAAGCCCCCTTCTCCCTGCCTTGGGTGCGACTTCTGCCACTCTGCTTTCCAGAGTCGCGGAACCTCGCCCAAGGGTGCCCACCTCCTCCCAGCGCAACTTTCCTGGCTCCCCTTCTCCTGAGCCCTGAAACTTCGTCGGAGAGTGCCTTTAATAAATCTTGCCTTGCACCCACTTTGCCTGGTGTTGTGTTTATCTCTCCGGAAAAACTTTACAATGCTGATCCTCCCAGGTTCCATATCAAAACCCTAAACCAAACCAAAACCCTCAACACATCACATAAGAATGATAGTTGGAAATACAAAAGTAAAATCCCTGGGTGAATGCACAGAGTAAGTGGGAAGCTGTATTCAACCAGTTTTGGAGTTCTTCTTGGGGAGTTCAGTGAAAGGAAAGAGACAACCAAACTGAGACAGAAGGGTTATTATAAGGATGGATCATGGAATCTAAGAAAAAGGAAAGCATGAGTGAGGTGACGGAAAGGATAAGATGTTAGGATTCAGAATGGAAGAATTAAAGTTAAAATTCTTTGTAGAACTTGAATTTGGAAGGGGTTTCACAGGGTATGGTTAACTTTCCCCCACAATTTGAAATAAAACCTGATGTTTTATCATCCCACTAGACATTTGTGTCAGTGAAAATCCTGTTCTTGATTATTTAAACTTAGAACCTGATTCTGAGTTACACATAGAGTGCTTTCTGCAACTTTATCACTGGGTTTTCAAGGAATTAAACTGCTGTGTAAATTGAGGCAAGATTTAAAATTGGATATTTGCAAAAGACTTATTTACCATTTCAAAAAAGATATCACCTACTGAGATGCCACTCATTGTATCTGAGTTGCCATAAAACATACCTGTATCTGCCTGGATTTATAGCTGTCACATTCATACTGCTTTACACAGTGGGGGTAGTTATTTAACCACAGCATTAGGCCTTAAACACACATTATCATATTATGCATTTCTTGACTTTAATTTCTCTTATATAGGACAGTTAAAATGTTAAATTGATACTTTTGACATGTACAAGCCTCTATTACCAGTGATTTTTTTTGTGGTAAAATAAATAACATGCAACTTACAATTTTAGTATGTACAATTCAATGGGATTAATTAAATTTACGATGATTTACAATGATTATAAAGTATTTCTCATAAAAAAAGGAATATTTCTCATAAAAAAAAAACCCAGTTTTTTTTTTTTTTTTTTTTTTTTTTGCTGTTAAAAAGATATTGCTAATGGGACACCTGGGTGCCTCAGTGGGTTAAAGCCTCTGCCTTTGGCTCAGGTCATGATCCCAGGGTCCTGGGATTGAGCCCCACATCTGGCTCTCTGCTCAGCAGGGAGCCTGCTTCCCCTCCTCTCTCTCTGCCTGCCTCTCTGCCTACTTGTGATCTCTGTCAAAGAAATAAAATCTTAAAAAAAAGATAGTATTAGGACAATTGTCATATCTGAATAAGGTCTATAGGTTACACATTAGTTTGTATAAAGATTAAGTTTCTGATTTTAAAATTTGCAGTGCATTTTCTAAAAGAATATCAGTGTGTTTAAGACATGCAGACTGAAATATTTAGGGCTCAAGGTGCATCATGTCTGCAATGATTCTCAATATAGGTATTACTGGAGGTTGAGAACCAGTGAATAAGATGATGTCTTTCAAACCTGGGACAGGGGAAACTGAAAACAGCACTGTCCTAACTCCTCATAATGATCTGTTTAATGAATAACTAAAATGACTCTGTTATCAAAGGGTAATAATACACAATATGTCGTGTGTAAGATTAATCACAATTAATATCACTTTAAACATAACCTTGTAGATAAGAATGGACCCTTGCCCATTGTGTTTTTCAAGCCAACCACAGACTGCATAGTTATACCCAGGCTCTTGGCCTTTCCTGCTCACCCATCCAGCTCCTTAAGAATGCATGCTCTCCCTACCACCAGGAACCTTCCACTTCCAGAAGTGCATCCCTCAGGTCCCTTTGGTCACTGTCATTTTGCTCCAGCACCTTATTCATGTTCTTTAAAACTACAAACTGTAGATGTCAGAGCCGGAGAAGAAGAGGGAGATCACTGAATCCCACCCATTTGTGCAACATACAGCCTCCTCTGCTTCTCTTGCCCTCTCCTAAATTTCCCATCCTGAGGATTTGTTTAAGCACCCCCTGCTTCCACCATGAGGGTGATGTCCAATTCCACCCAGCTGGGATCACCCCTTTCCCTGGATGTCCGTAGCATGTCTCCTATACTTGTCCACAAAACCTATTCCAGCTCACATCTTAATATACTTTCATATATTGCCATAAAGTGCTTATGATTTCATGAGTAAAATTTTTATATCCTTAACTGTATTGTGAACTCCTAATGCACAGGAATCTTCATTATCTTTAGCACAGATACTCAGCAATATACAGTGAGTGTTGGAAAATGCTCATGTTGCATTAGGAAGCTCATGCCATCTAATCTGAGCTGTTGTTTACTTACAACAAGGACTCAACAGAAGAGCAAATATGAGGGTCAGCTTTTTTCGTGAACTCCTAGACCATAAACTTGGAGGAAATGATTTTATTCGTCACCAAACATGAGGAGCAAATGTTACTCTTTGTTTTCTTTTCTTTTTCTTTTTTATTATGTTCAGTTAACCACTGTATAGTACATAATTAGTCCTTGATGCAGTGTTCAATGATTAAGTATAACATGTTAAGTATAACACCTAGTACTCTTTGTTTTCTACATGTTTTGCTGAATCTTGAAATTCCTTTCTTTCTCCTCAATGATTATCTCCAAGGAATTTAGCTTTGCAAAAGCTGTAGAATTCTTCTAAGACTTATTTGTGACATCTGTATTATAAGGGAAGTCTTAGAAAATAAAATAGGATAAATGTAAGAAGTCAGTTTAATAATATGAAGCATTTCCTTCTGGTTCATGTGCCAGATAATCAAGCTGAAAATGAAAATATAAGCCCAGACTGGTTCCAACTAGGAGAATAAAGAGGTTATTTTGCAGTGGAAAGGCAGGGGACTAGAGAATCCTCCTCCTTTCTACTACTAAATGTGTTTCTTGAGTGAGACATTTTGTTTCTTCTGTACATCTGTTTTTTTTTTTCCATATACTTAATGAATAGGTGGGTTTACACTCTGGAGCCTCTCATGACTTGTAATTATTTTATTGTATGCATGAAAGATTTCTAAAGCTCCTTTTCCCCCCATAAAAACTTGGTAGAAAGATCCTAGGTAGTTAAGACATCCGTATGACCAGATAGGTAAAGGCTAATGATAGTCTCTACATCCATTTCTCTGATTCTATCATTCTAGCCCCACCAAAATAATCTTAAGAATCAAAAATGCCAGGAGCACTGAACTTACTGAGATTCTCAAAGCCACAGAGATGAAGAGGGAGAGGACAGAGAGATATATCTGTAGTCGCTTCCCACCAAACCTCTTCCTCAGATATTCTGGCATAGTCATCACCTGCAGAGACAGACATCAACAAGGATTCACCGTCAGAGCCCAGCACATTCATATTATTCAACACTTACTAAGCACTTGTATACCTGCACATGATTACTGTGCTTGGTACCTTAGGAATGCAAAGGTTAGAAAAACAGTCCCTTGGGAGAACAGTGAGCCTGGAATAAACACAGACATTGAAATCTTAGGATCCAGATAGGACATTTACTAGAAATGCAACCTTTGGCAATCGACAATCTCTCTGAACCTCCATTTTTTTATCTGTAAATTGGGAGTTTAATATGAAAGTAGATGTAAAATACCCACAACAACACCTAATGCATGGTGAATGCTCAACAAATACTTTTCATTATTTTCACTAAAATAATGTTGCTGTCTAGTAAAAACATTATTTATAAATAATGAACCACAATGAATGGTTATAATAAATTGATAATTAAATAAATTGCAAATATATACTTGGGTATATATTTATGTGATTATCTTTTTAAAATTATTGTTATGTTCAGTTAGCCAGCATATAGTATATCATTGGTTTTTGATGTAGTGTTCAGTGATTCATTAGTTGCATATAACACCCAGTGCTCATGTTCATACACATCTATGTGATTATCTTTATTGAAAAGAAGAGATTAGGGGTGACTGGGTGGCTCAGTCAGTTAGGCGTCTGCCTTCAGACTGGGTCAAGATTTCCAAGTCTTGGGATTGAGCCCCATGTAGGGCTTCCTGCTCAGCAGTGAGCCTGCTTCTCCCTCTCCCACTCTCCCTGTTGTGCTCTTGCTCTCTCTCTCTGCCAAAGAGATGAATTCTTAAAAAAAAAAAAGATGACAATTACATTAAATCCCTACTGAGAAAAAAGTCTGAGGTTATCATTACTGAAATATGGGATTAACTATGTGATGTGTAAGTAGTACAAGGAGCAGCTTTCCAGTTTCTTCAGAGCAGGTTAAGCTCATGAGTTAATCTCCCTCAGTATAAAAGAATACATATTTATATAATATCAAAAGCAAAAAAGGGAACACTTGGTGGCTCAGAAACTCTGTGGAACCCCCCAAACATGGCAAACCACATCCAAAAATACATGCATGAGTTCTGTGGCATTTGTTCTTGCACCAAGGAGAGCACACTTAAACAGAAATTGTTCAAACCTGGTACTAAAAAGACCCAAGATGAGCAAAGAGACAATATATGGTGACCTGCAGAGGTGCAAGCCAGAAGATTTATCCACTGAGCACCTTCATCTCAGGAATTATTCTAGGTTATAGCACCTCATGGTATGAGCACAAGCAGCAGAAGAATAAATGTGGGTAGTAGGATCAGAGAAGCACAGAAGTGGTTGGCAACATCGGCTCTGAAGAGGAGCTAGCATAGCTGTGGTATTTCCTACACTTAATTTTAAAAAGAAACTACTTTACAAATCTCAGAATGGCAAAAATTAGAGTGAAGAAAATTACCATGTGTTGGTGAGGATGTGGGGAAATGGGAACCCTCACAATAGTGATCAGCAAAAGGACAGGTGACTGTAGCCATTTTCAAGAGCAATCTGATAGAGTTTAGTGGATTTACATAAGCCCAGAGATCCTGGAACAAGTGATATTACCCAGGTTTCTTGACTAAGCAGAAATAATAAGTGATTAAATGAATGCTGACAGACACATGAGAACACATGGAGATACTCACATCTGCCTTAATGTATATAGGGACAAAGACCCAAGCTAGAACCAGCAACAACAGCAAAGCCTGCAAAAAAAAATTCAGAAAAGAGTACAAAGTTCAAGAGGCTTGGCTTGTGGGACTTATCACTTCAATAGCTCTGAGTCTGAAAATAAAATAAGTTTGCATGGATCTTGTCCCACTCAACCAATTATGAGCCCAAGACAACTGTGGATTCCTTTCCTTTGTTTCCATGATTCAGATACTACACCTTCCTGGGGCTTAAGGTGGGACAAAAGATGTTTGATATAAGGTGGACAGAAAATAAGACATCCAAAAGCACAAGTGGACCCCTGAAAGGTCATACAATCTCTGCTAAAAGGACTAATTCTTGAATGGAAGGAATTATACACAGAGTGACAAAGCAATGAGAAAACTACTTGGTGATAGACTATTCCCACTGTCCCCCAAGTCTTGCCATATATATATAATGATAATAGTATAATCTTGTATTAACATTATTATTTACAAAGAACTCTCACATGTATCACTCATGCTGCCCTCACAACAATCAGTGGGGCAGATATGATAAGCAGTTATTCCTGTTTAATGGAAGGGGAACCTGAGCCTCACAGAGATTAAAGAAGTCCAAGGTCACAGGCTAAAAGAGCCAGGCTCTTGGCAACCTGGGGCCATAATCACACACACTGGGGCCATAGGGCATGTTGTTCACATCTCTGGAAGCTGGCTCCATCCTGGAGTTTATGGCACTATCAGAACAAAACTTGGGCCATAGCGCATGTCTGGAGACTTGGTCTGGTCTGAAGTCCCCAAAACTAATAAATCAAAGCTAGGGGCAAAATCTTCAACAAGGGAGAGGTACAAGAATTTTGATGACTCAAGGTCATTTTCTAAGCTCATCCATGCATGATCTGTTTACATGTTCACTGTGATCTGACTTTTTTCCACATAAGCATTTCCTTCTGACTGAAATGCACACG